AAGGCAAATCCTAAAGGATTTGCTGATAGACTGGATAGGACTTGTCCCTGAAAGCAATCCACAGTGATTCTAAGGTCTCTGGACTTGGCAGTTAGAAAGATGAAGTGACCATTGTGTTAAGGTTATGACCCATTTGTTCCCTATGAGATTTTAATTTATGGAAATGGTGAATGATGATTTGGAGAAGCCAATGCCATTGAAATATTTTTATTAGATGCATTTCCTAAGCAGAGGGACCATGCCATGCCACCCAGGACCACTTGGGGAACACCAGGTTTTGACCAGGAGATGGAAGGAGCAAGGGGAAAGTAAACCCCAAGTTTTTATTAGGGTTTTTGAGAAAGGCAGGGTAGGGCATGGCATAGAGTCTAGGACTAACTAGTGTGAATAATCCTGGTGGCCTTGAAACATAAGGGCTTCTCCCTCATTGCCTGATACGTGGCTCTGGTTTGTCTAGGGCCTGGGGGAGACTGGCTTGGCATGTGAGAAGTGTGGGCTCCCAATTAGTTGTTTGCTTTTGAAAGGTAGGAATGAGGGGAGGTGGGAAGCCCTTTGCACTCCATGGGAATAAGCTAACTATGGGCCCTGGGAGGAGCAGCATGTCCATAGTCAGCAAGACCACAAGAGCCAGAACATCAGGAGTACAGAAAATGAAAACTAACACTATGTGTCAGTTATGTGTCATTTGAAAAAAGATTTCACCTCCCTGGCTGGGGGTTGAATCGTATTGCAATTCGAGTTGCAGTAGCTCTCTCTCTCCCTCTCCCTCTCTCTCTCTCCCTCCCCCTCCCTCTCTTTCCTTTCTCTCCCCTCGCCACCCCGCTGAGGCATGAGTTCAATCCCCTGACAGGAGCTGACCCACATGGTGCAGCAGACCCATCTGCTGCTCCCCTCAGCAGTGTATTTCGGTGGATCTGCCTGTTCTGTTCGCCACTCTGTCTCTGGTGAATCTTCTCACTCACCACACCTCTGGCCTGTATCCCATTTCTGTAAGCATAAGTAAAAATCGATCTTTTTTTTAAAAAGGAAATATAGTTAAAGCGATCAGCCACATGCTGAATGATGCAAATGGACATACCCATAATCTTTAAGAAAGCACAGAACAAGAGTGATGTATCCTGAACTTTCAGTGGCTTGATCTCATAAAGGCTCATTACTCATTCACATCCAGTTCAGTTGGCACCGGTGGGGGTGAGGGGGTCACAGACTGCATCACAGGTTGTGCCGTACCTAATCCTGTTTCTGCCATCTCTCTGGACAGTGGAGGACCAAGTGGTGCAGGTTCTGCAGGCCAGGTCTGAAGGGGTGACATTTATTCTTCCCATTCACGTGGCCAGTTGCAGGGGGGAGATGGGGACCTAGCTGGATGTCTAGAAAGACAGGGAAATAGATTTGGTGAACAAAAGTTTCATCTGGACAGCTGTGGGATCCAACTGTGTCAAAAGGGAAAAGTAGTGATTCAGCTTTGGCCATGTTGAGTCTGAGATAAATACATGTTACATGAATCTGAAATCCAGGAAAGGCTAGAGACAGGATGAGATTACCAAAAGGTGAGGGTAGCTCCATCATAAAAGTTCACGGACAAAAAGAAGAATCGGCAATGGAGACAGAAGGAAGATTCAGGCTGGAGATGAGCCAGCCAGCTAGTAGCCTGGAAACCACATGGCAGCAAAGGCCTTCAGGTACTGAAGGTTGTCATAGCTATGTGAAGGGCATTGCTGGCCCTGACAGGAGCAGCTTCCACAGATCCATAGAAGCACATTATGATTAGAGAGGGCTTGGGAGAGAAGGGATCAGAAAGCAGAGTCTATCCACTTACATCTTGCAGAGTTGTTTGCTAGATAAGGCAGGCAAATAAATAGGAATTTGCTGGGAAGTAGTAGGGAAAAGGGAGTGGTCAGGAAGAACATTTGGAGGCTTTTTTGGCAAATTATTTTGTACCATCATATGAAATGAGTGATAGAATATATGCCACTTTAGCCTTTTTTTTAGAGTACAAATTTGTGGCATTAAGTATATTCACCCTGTTGTACAGCCATCACTGCCATCCAATTCTAGAACTTTTTCATCATCCCAAATAGAAATACTCATTAATTAATTCTTCCTCCCAACCCCTGGGAATATCTACTTTCTGTGTCTGTCTATGAATTTGATGACTCACAGTAACTCCTATAGTAGAATCATACAATATCTATCCTTTTGTGATTGGTTTACCTAACACATATCAGGATCCTTCCTTTTTAAGACTGAATAATATTCCACTGAATGTATATAACACATTTTGCTTGTACATCCATCTATAAATGAACACTTATGCTGCTTCCACCTTTTGCAGTTAGCAATGATGCTGCTATGAACATAGGTGTACAAATATCTCTTTGCTATAGGGTCTTAATTCTTCTTGCTGTGTACCCCAGAAGTGGAATTGCTGGTTCATATAGTTCTAGTTTTTGAGGAACCTCCATACTGTTTTCCACTCTAGCTATACCACTTACATTACAAACAGCAAAGGTTTTGGTTTTTGCACATCTTATTCAGTAATTATATTTTTACTAAGTTTTTACTTTTTGTAAATAGCCATCCTAATGGATATGAAAAGGTAGCTTATAGTATTTTGATTTGCATTTTCCTAATGACCTGTGACATGGGATATTTTTCATGTCCATTTCTGTGTCTTCGGAGGGATGTCTTTTGAACTCCTTTGCCTATTTTAAAATTGGATTCTTTTGTTGCTGGCTTGTAGGATTTTTAAAATATAATCTGAATATTAACCCCTTATTAGATCTATGATTTATAAATATATTCTCCTATTTTCACTCTGTGGCTAGTATCTATTAATGCACAAATCAAATGTTTTTACTGTTTCACTAGCAGCTTCTCCAGAAGTATATAATCTATTCCAAAGACTCTGGGTGGCATAAGCAAGCAAGATTCATAGTTGGCTTTCCAAATTTGGGTTTGAAAGGCCAGATCTTCTATACAGAAAAGGCTATTACCTAGAGAATACTTGATGCATGGGTTATCTCCCTTGACTGGTGAAGCGGGTTTGATTCCCATATCACATGTGAAGAAGCAGAGGCTCAAAGGGGTTTTGGGTGAAGTAGGTGCAACAGCAGAAATGCCAGTACTCTTGGAAGGTGAGTCATTTTCCAGGATGCTTCCATTTCTCTAAATGTAAACTGGAAGTGAACACACCTCCCTGAACACAAATGTGATGGAAAATGAAGCTGAGAGAGGTACAGCCAATTGAATTTGGAGGCAAAGTGTGAGAGACCTACTCCTGGGCAGGATACTTACTAGCCTTCGCATTTGCAAGGCCATACCTAGTTCTCAAAGGGTTTCCAAATCTGATTCTTTAAATCTCAATGAAACATATGTAGTCATTCCTATTCACTGTCTATCACATTTCTGGGTGCCACTGGACTGGAATCAAAGCTCTGTTTTGAAAGCTCAGCCCTGAGCAGCTTGAGTCAACAGGTCATGCACTTCACATGATTTGTAACCTTGATTTAGAAAATGTGGATGAGTATGTGGTGGAGACTTGTAAAATCCTCTTCTTAACCTGGGCTTGGTGCATAATAAGCATTCATGTGAGTTGTATCTGAGGTGGGATGTGAAGCCACAAAGGAGAAAGGACTTCCAATGATCTGATATTCAAGATCTTAGGAGCAAACAAGCTATGTGCAGGGTGCTCTATATACCCATTATTTTCATAACAGCATATCTTCCTTATTTTTGAATGTAGAAAGTGTCAGGGAGTTTAAGAAATTTAATCAAAATCCCAGAGTTATGAATCTCATATTTGAACACTGATAGTGTCATTTTAAATGCCCACCACCAGTTTTTTTTAATTAAAAACACAGAAATTTTGGAAAGAATGATTCAATACACACTCACCTACTCTTCCCCCAGATTCAATAACTGTGAATATATTGAAACATTTACTTATAGCAAGCTTTCTCTCTATATATAGTTACATATTTTGAACTACTTGAAAATAAGATACAAAACAGGAAGAAAAAGAAAAAAAATACAGATATCATGACTTTTCACCCCTGTTATGTACTGAATGTGTTGTCCCCCTCTCCTGTCCTGGCCACTGCTCCCCTCAGCTACATTTCAGTAGATT